AGATAGATAGATAGATAGATAGATAGATAGATAGATAGATAGATAGATATAGATAGATATAGAGAGATATAAAGACACAGACAGACAGAAAGACAGACAGAGATAAATGATGGATGGATGATGGATGGATGGAAAAACTAAACCATTCCAACAAATCATGCAGTATACAACCTTCTCTGATTTTTAAGGATCATTAGAAGTTATTGTCATTGCACTAAGGTCCACATGAAGACCTCTCAAACTGTAATCCTTTGCATTAGAAATCAGCTTCTTCATTTGCTGCTTCCTTTGGGTTATGAAGGAAGAATCGAAAGTGTTGTCTGCTTATTTACTGAGGACCATCAAGCAAGTGAAAGCAGGTTGAAGAAAAAATGGGGAGCAGGAGTGGGTAATCCACTCCACTGATAGTAATCTGCAGAAGGCCTTCCAGATATAGAGGTAATATTTAAATAGCTTACAACCTTTGCTTTACTTCTTAGAGTATGTGCCAAATGTCTATGGAGAATCAGTCATCCATTTTGAGGCAATTAGGATGTGCTAGCACATTATTTGGAAACCAACTAATACCTTTCAGATTTATTTTTACTCCCTTCTCTCTAGATCACTGTTTTTCCTCTTTTGTTCATTAATATGCATATATGCAAAATTGAGACAAATACATATATATTTTTCATGAATAGATCCCCATTTTTTTAATGGGATACATGCCCACGACCTATCCAGTTTGATTTCTTATTTAGGTAGGAAGTTAGGAAGTACGCATATCTATTCAATCTTTGCAATAGCAAACCTAGAAGGACAAAATTCATTTTGTTGTATGAGAAAAAGCATTAAAAAATTGAAAACATTTAAATTCTACATTGGAAATCAGGAAAAACTCTAAACTGTGATATCAGTTGAATCTTTCTGCAGGTGCTTGAGGAAATTTCCCCACTTTCTACGCTTCTTATGCTTTGGAAGAGTAACTCCCAGAATTGCTAGCCATTATGGGCAGAGGGAATTCTGACAGTTGTGGTTCCAAATCATCCAAACAGCATAATGTTGGAGAAGAATGTCCAATAGGATGGATGGGAGAAAGGGAGGGAAAGAGGGAGGGAGTGAGATAAAGAAAGAGAAAGAGTAGATAATATAATTGAATCCTAAACAGTTGAATAAATGAAAAGTTCACATTTTTTTTAAAAAAGTGACCTGTAAGATCTATGCATATTTTTGAGATATAGTCAGCACTACATAAATTGACTCAGTTTATAAGTAAAACCCCTTTGTTAATAATTTTAAAAGGAAATCAGAGGAAAATCCATATGTAAACAATCAGCCATTCTGTTTAGAAGATTCTGCTTTTCCTTATATATTCTTGGAGTTCAAACTGATTTTAGCACAATAAACAATATTACTATGAAATTTCATTAGAATTGTCATGCAGATTCTTCTGACATCAGCTGTATATTCTGCATAGCAGATGGGGACAAATACTTTCCAATAACTACAAACAAATAAAGACAGAATTTTACCCTTGGTTTCCACGTTGGGTTGCTATGGTACAATGTGTTTTGAGTTCTTGGGTGAAACGCCTTTGATTGCAGTGAAGGTTGACATTTCTAGTTTGCAAACAAAAGCAGAATTTGACTGCCAATTTTTAAACACATTCTTTTTCCGAAAATTATTTTTTTAAAAAAAAAAAACATTAACTTGTACTAAGGTAAGAATTATCTAAGATTCATTTCATATAGCAACTATTTCCTCAATTTTATGATAATCAATCACTTGAGGCCATTTTGACAATGTGAGACTTCAGAAACCAAACAATCCTTACAAGTGGATTACCTGTAAATGGGATCCATAAAGAAAGGTGTAGGTCTTGCGTGTTGTAAGGAAATATCAGAGGATTTCCTTGATTCGAGATCCTGGTCTCCTTTCTTTCCCCCAAAAATGTGGTTCTTCCGAGGCTCGGTCTGTTTTGTGCCTGTGGCTCGAGTTCTGGTGCCCATGCTCAAGTCCAGAGGTTGGTCCTGGCTGGCCACTGATGAAACTGATGTTTTTGAAGTTACAGGAGTAAGTGGTTTCTCTTCCTTACGTTTAGTGGTAAGGTCAAAGGGAGACTCGGAGGTTCCCTTTAAAGTCTTCTTCCCTTCTCCTGGAGATTGGGGTTCCACTTTCAAAGGTAACGATCTCAAGTCTCTATCAGGGAATGGATACATTGACTGAGAGAATGCTGGAAAAAATGGGAGGGGAAACATGGAAGGGTAAGGTAAGGCTCCGACTTTTTTGTCCTGCAGCCCCACAAGTCCTGTCGAACCAAAGTATTTTTCAGCAATAGAGGCAATGGCTTTTATAGAATCATTCACAGCTCCTGACACCGCAGTTTGTTCCTCTAAAGATGGTGAGAAGGTGGAATGATTGCTGTATTCTTTCTTATTATTTACGGAAGCCAAATTCTGCAGAGAGTTTACTTTGTCTTTGAACAGTTTACCATTTTCTTTACATTTCTCTTTATCGCTTTCAATGTCACTTTCGAGATCAGAGCCAGAGGTGGTCTCCAGGTCACTCCCACTGGGGGTACTGACATCATCAAGGTCACTACTCTCTGACTGGTCACTGATCTTTTCATGTGGCCTCTCTTCAGAGGACCTTTCTGGTTGAAGCTCCAGTGGCTTATTTTCACTTAGGTTAGATGGGTGGTTATTTAGTGCCTTCAGAATCTCCTGGGTAGCTGGCAATGTCTGAGGATGTGTCATGAGGGGACTTTGATTTTTGATTGTTTGATCTGTGCTTGGAAGTCCTTTAACAGGAGAACTAGCAGGTATCAAAGGTGGCCTGTGATACAAGCCTGAAGGAAACAGGCCAGGGAAGCTAAAAGAAAATCCAGGAGCTGTTGGAAAGGTAAGACCAGCAGGATGTCTATTGGCGCCAAAATAGTCAGAAAGGCCTGGATTTGCATGAGTCATATTAACCATGGAAGATTTATCCATAGCTGGGGTTCCAGGAAGTGATATGCCTTGGCCAAAAAATCCTCCTGCAGCAAAATGGTTCTTGCCCTCACAAAACCTCCTGTGCTTATTTAAGGAAGACGTAGTGCTGAACATTTGTCCACAGTCTTTGCACTTGATTTGGGTTCTGCAATCAGCATGCATACGCTTATGACGGCAAAGGTTTGAAAACTGAGTATAGGATTTATGGCAGACCTCACCTGTGTGTAAACAACAACAACAACATCATATCTCAGGATCGATGGTAATTTTACTCTTCCCCTTCACACAGACATTTTTAATCCCATCCCTCTGCTTTTACCTCAGCATCTGAAAAGGTTTTAAACTTCCAGAGATCGCTAGAGCTCAATCCTACACTTGCTTATTCAGAACTAAGACCATTTATGGAATTTGTTACCTACATGCAAGGACAGCTAATGCAGTATTTGGGCTGTAATTTTAGAGAGTTGTCTATGTAAAAAAATCCACTAAGCTCAATGTATGAATAAACATATATAAGATTGTGCTATTAGTAATACTCGGTAGATTAATTTAACAGCAGATAGCCTATCAAAACTAGTCCCAAACTCCAAAAAGGAAGAATATGGTTAGGGTAAATACAGCGAAAAGCATAATAAAACATCAACTCCAATAAAGTGATTGCATTCACAGTTACTGAGTTGCAGAAAAATCTCCGCAAACTGTAACCTGGTGCAATCTGGTTATGGCACCTTTAGATATACATATACGTGTGTGTGTGTGTGTGTGTGTGTGTGTGTGTGTGTGTGTGTATGTGTGTGTATATATATACGTATATGTCTTGACCAAGACATACAGTAGTTGCAGAACAGGATTTTATTTTTATCCATGATTGCAGGTTGCATAAATGGCTCTATTATTTGACCCATTAATCTAAATATGCAATGAAGCTGTTTTTTACCCATGATGCATAGTTCTATTATTTGCCCCATTCATTTGCATATACAATGAATCTGATTTTTACCCATGAAAATAGGAATCTGCCTGTCATCCTCCCACCAGTACATATAATTATTATACCACTGCTTCAGTTATCCAATATAAACACTATCTTACATGATCAAGAAATATATATTAATGTACATTGTAACGTTAGAAGATTTGCTGTGCTCATGTACCAAAACTAATTTTTAGAACACCAGGAAATATGAATGGTTAATAACCCTGAAACTTGGACTTGACTTCAAAATCAGTTTTAAACAATGCCAGCAAGATTTTCACATGATATTGTAACATTGAATTATATTGTTCAGGGTGCTAGTGATTCCACTTCTCTCCTCTTGGCTTCTGTCCTTCCCCCAATACTTAGCTAACCCTCTGTCGTTACTCAGATTGCTCAGTCTGAATTGGACCTGTTCTTCATTCATATTTTATTTTTTTCCCTATGTATCCCAAATCTGGCACAGTGTCCTTCTGGTGCATGGAGGGCAGCAATGTGACCAAATGCAAACAAAGACAACATTTAGAAAGGGCCTTTCATTTCATCTAGCATTAAACCAAATATAATGCAGATCAGTGAACAATTTTCTGGAATAAAGGAACGGGATCTTTGTCCTGTGAGTTGTTACTCTCCAGAGACTACTGATGAATAGCCATAGCATTAGCACTTAAGACTTATATACCATTTCCACATTGCTTTATAGCATTTTCTGGGCAGTTTCCAATCTCAGCATATTTCCTCCAGTAACCCGGGTCTACATTTTACTGATCTCAAAAGGATGGAAGGCTGAGTCAACCTTGAGCCCTATTAGGACTGAACTCCTGGTTGCGGGCAGAATTTGCCTGCAATTCTGCATTCTAACCACTGCACAACCACAGGGCTCAAGCTGGAAAGCAAGGGAATTCAGGTTGCAATGTTATGCCTACTTACACAGGAGTAAGCCTCACGCGACTCAATGAACGGCACTTCTTAGGATTGTACTGTCACCATCTCGGCCTCAGAAGCTGGGAGAATTTTTTTCCTTTGATATTAAAATCCAACAACTTCCAGCAAAGAAGAACTGGGCAGAGCAAATTTTTAGCAAACTGCCTACATTAGAGGCTCTTGCCCTTCACACATCAAAGCCACATAACAATGCACATTGTGCATTCCAAGACGCTCTTAACAATTATTTTTGTGGTTTCAGTCAGACTGACATAATTTACAATGGCTCTATTTTAAGCCGTTAAAGGAAACTGAATTGAATGTATCTCATCCTGAACTCTTGGTTCCCATGAACTATAATCACGTCCTCTCACTTCCACTCACCACCGATGCAGATATTAACCTTCCTGCTCTTATAATGCTTACCCTTGAGAACCTGCCTGCTTGTTGTCTGTCTTAAATGTTTATCCGTAGAGCTATCTGTTCCCATCATAACAAGAAAGATATCTATTGTTTGAGAAACTCCCGATTCCACCTGTCTGGCTCAGATGGGCTGCCTTGGCAATCCACATCAGGCAACAACCACAGCAACAATTGCAAATTGGCTGCAGGCCAACAAAAATGTACAATTCAGGAAAAATGCTATTCCGATTTGTCAGGCCAGTGTTCCTGTATTATATCTTTCATTCATGAGGAATGCTCTAATTAAAGAGTGCTTTCTTAAATCTTATTTGCATGAAGACTGTGAAACAAGGAGAGATGTTTCTTTTACTCTGGAAAAAAAAAACATCATCATGGCAAAAGTTCTGGAATTTATCTTAAATTAAATTTGTTGGACCAGTGAGTTTACATTGATTGCTTTGGAAACCTAGTGCCCAGCATACTTTACACAAATGGCCTTCCATTAGGAATAGTAACCTGAACTGTCAATTCAAGATTGCAATTGCTTTTTATGGCACTAATTCAGGCATATAAATAAACACATTTGTCTACAGGCACTTACACTACTGAAATTAGGTAGATCTCAGCCAGGGTTATTTGTGCACTGGATTCCCACTATATTCTGATTTCCTTACTTATTACCCTTCTAATTTAAAGAGCCAGTGTTAATTTACATACAAAAAATCATTAAGAGCATGTAAATATGTAATTGCCTTTAAACCCAACAATGGGGGATAAGCCTAGAACTAACTGTAGCAATGTAACTTGTTCCAGTAAATAGTCCTAACAACTTCCACAGGAAGAGAAAATCAATTAGTAACACAAGTATTGCTACATTTATGGCCTTAAAGTCTGTTACCCAATTAGCAGCTCACTGATGTGAGAGGAAAAGAATGGGGCCTTTTAGAGCTTCCATGAGTAATCTCCAATTGTTCCATATAAACAATGAAGGAAGCTTCTGATAATTTGTTTTTCTACTAGTGAAAGGAAAAGGATGGGAGAATTAGTATGCAATGCTACTTTGGTTGCCTATCATTCATGTTATTGTCACCTTGCATTTGAACTACTGCAATGTGCTCTACATGGGGCTACCCTTGAAGACTATTCAGAAGCTGTGGATGAAATCCAGAATCCAGCAACACAGGCAGGTATGGGCATGCCTTGGTGGACTCATATAATAGCTCTGCACTGGTTAGCAGTAGTGCTTACTATCTCCTAAAAGCCCTTCATGGCGTAGGGCCATGTTATTTGTCTCTATCTACATAAAAATGGCTCTGTGTGTGTGTATGTTCCAGCATAACTGTGGAACGTCTCAAGCAATTTCAACAAACTTGGTACACAGAGGACTTACTCTCTGGAAACAAATACTGTGGGGAGGTAAGACACCCATAACACCCTTCGGTGTGTGTGTTCTGTTAAGATACAGCCTGTATCTGTTAAAATGGCTTCTACTGTACCGTGCAGTGGAGTTGCCATGGTAACGGATTCACAGTACTCCCTAAGGGGACTCGCTGTGAGAAAATCCAACATTAGAAATTATATTTGATCTGAACATTTTCTCCCTATAAATAAATGCCCAGGCAATGCTGAGTTATTGGCTAGTAGTCATATAAAATCTCATACTGTTGGTCTATTAGTTAAATAATGCCATCTGAGGGTATCCAGAAAATGTGGGGGGTTTGGTCATAATAATTGACTTCTGGAATGAATTCCCAACCCCCAAAGGTTCATATGATATGAGCCCAATTTGGATATTATTTAGATGAGTCATGAAGACCCAGCTCTTTTCTGAAGCCTTTGATTGTAGTGGATATCAAGTTCCTTCTGGGTTGTCTGACCTGTGAGTTGATGATTGTTTTCTCCAGCTGTATTTTGCATTAGGCCATTTTTCATTTTAAATTTTGCACATTGTATACCGTTCAGAGTCATAATGGAATTGAGCAACTTATAAATAAAATAATAACATGCCTGCTGTCCAACAGCACCTCATGGCTCACAAATATATGTTGCGTATCTTCGAACATTTTTTTGTATGCTACATTGGAATGGGTGGGATAGCAAAAATGAGTAGGGTGAAGAAGTAGCTATATGAGCTCATTCTTACCCTACCTGCGTGTTCTCCTAAATTTCTCCACAATGCTTGTACAGAACATTCTGGAAGTAGAAATTCATACGTCTGGAAAGTTGGTTGCTTCTTTGTTTACTTCATATTTTAGCCACTTCTTCTCTAACAATTGTCCCAATCCATACTTCACTGCCTTTACTGCCTATCATGAAATGAGAGATCCTGATATATAATTTATTTATATCAATGAAAGCAAAGAGGATAAGAAAGACCTAAAGCTCAGAACAAAGCCGAAAAATTGGTTTTAGTAAAAAGAGCTTGGGCGCCACAGATTGCCAACTTCTATAAAAGCATTAAGAATTTCTTAAATGACTCAGACCATATGTCTTAGAAGTTTACAAAGTAATGGTAATTCTTCTTTCTTTATCCTACTCTAGTAACCACACTCTTAAAAGAAAAAAATATAAAATAATATAAATCTAAACTCTCGCAAATCAAAATAAGTCTTGAACGGGGCCATGTTTCAACTGGGAGCTATATTGGATGGAAATGTCTCAAAGATTTGGGAAAAAAATAAGGGTAGAATGATAGATGTAATCAATTATCTCCTTTTCCAGTTTAGTGCATAAATTCTAGTACATAAATCCCTACTGCACTTCTATTTTTGCTCTTATAATTGTACTTTCTGACATGGCCATTCGGAGATTGTTATAATCCATTAATATCAATGGGATGTTCTGATTTACTTCCTATTCTGAAAAAATCTGGTTCCATTTAGTTATAAGGCATTACTTTATAACTAAAGCCATGGA